TACAGTGACAAATTACTATAACTCTTTCCTATAAAGAAATGGAATTTTGTTTTTTTACCCGGTTTGGATTTTCTGTCTCTTTTTTCTCCAGTATCAGCACTTCTTTTAAATTAAGGAATACCTTCCCAGGAAATGCAAAGGTAGGAAAAGTCTTTTAGTTCACATGAGATACAACAAATATGTTTAAAAATCCTTTTGTAGATGTGATAAACCTTGTTAATAGTATGAATGTAGTCTTTGAATTTGTCACTGTATACTTTTTCCTTATATTTTTTCAGATACCTTTAGATCATCAGCAAACATACACTGCCTGTACCTACTCAATAACCTAAAGTAAGGTAGGCAACTAATCCTATTAACATAAATTAGATTCTCCAAATAGAGTCTTCCATGTGGTGCACCCCTGTATCCCAAGCACCAAACACTAATCAATGTGGTCCAGTTACAACCTACAGTATTTTCATACCTTTTTAAATCATTAAGACATTATAAAATACAACAAACTTTTGGCAAAGTTACTTAGTCTTCATTCATTATTGTGTTACACTTAAGTTTTTTTCAGGGTTCTTTTTGTTGTTGTTTATATGTTTTTGTACTAGAGATTGAATCGAGGACCTCATGCATGCCAAGTAAATACCGAGGTACTGAGCTATATCCTCAGTCCTTTCCATTCATTATTAACTTGACACTGTTGAATAAACAACCCTCAGTAATAGTAATTTTCTGTATATTTTCTCCATGTTATTGTCCTGATAACATGCTCTGAATTTTATTTGAAATTGTTTTATTAAATGTATCTGTCCACCTTAAAACTAGCTTCATGGCTGAACAGATGACCCACATAAAAACCTAAAAGAAGCCAGGCACGGTGACTCACACCTTTAATCCCAGCACAGAGACTGAGACAGATCTCTGTGAGATTGTGGCCAGTCTGGTCTATATAGTAAGTTCCAGACCCGTGGAGTTACAGAGAGACTCTTTCTGAAAACAAACATAACCACCAAATCATGTTTTCAGTTTATTGGTAGATGGTCTTAGCTGATTATATACCATAAAAACTAATCAAGCCTGGGGGCTAGTGAAATGGCTTGGCAGTTAAGAGCTCTTATTGCTTTTCCAGAAAACCAGAGTTCTGTTCCCAGCACCCATGTTGGGTAGCTCAGAACCACCTGTAACTTCAACTCCAGGGGACCTGATACTCTCTTCTGACCTATGTGCACTCACATACATGTGCCCACACATATACTCGGGCACATACATACACATGAATACAAGTAATAAAATCTTTAAAAGAAAAAAACTAATCAAGCCAGGTATGGGGACAAAGTCTCTAATCCCTGTACTTAGAAGGTATAGGCAGAGCCAGGTGTGATGACATATGTCTTTAGTCTCAGCACTCTGGAGGCAGAGGCAGACGGATCTCTTGAGTTCAAGGCCAGCCTGGTCTACATAGTGAGTCCCAGGCTAGCTAAGGCTACAGGAAGACCCTGTCTCAATAAGACAAATAAAAGTCAGCTTTAAAAAAAAAAAGTGTGGCAGAGCACACTCCCACCCAGGAGGCAGTCAGGAAGACCAAGAGATCAAGGTCATCCTAAACTACACACCTAGCAAGTCAGAGGTCAGCCTAGGCTACATGAGACTGTTTCAAAAAACAAACAAATTTGTTTTTTTTTTTTTTTT